GGAAAGATATTCAGCGGGGATTGTCCCAGGTTCCACTTATTTGAGAATAAACGCATCCATGACCGTGTGTAAGCCAGCTATGTTATGCCTTTATCTCCCCTCATTTTGGATATCCAATGTCTAAATTGCCAATTCCTATCAACCCAGTAGTGCAACCCTGGTGGTGTGGTGGTTACGAATTGGGCTGTGTGGCAGTTACATAATCTCATGTCAACTTGAGGGCATTCAGAGTGAAGAGGTGGAGTCTAGCCTGTCAATCAGGTCACAGACTGATGATGCCTCCTTGGGGCTCGGCCTTCTCCTGAGGATTCTGGGAACTTCTCTCTCTCTCTGCCTCACCTTCCTGTTGAAGAGCCATGTAGAGATCTGCGCTAGCACCTGGATACTTCCACAGCCATTGGATGCACAGGACTGCACCCCGGCCTGTGGTCTTCCTGTATTCTGCACCACTGCATGTGGCTGTATGAGTCTGAAGAGTTATGGACTAGTATCAGACTTATGGGCTGGGTCTGGACTGAGCTGGAGTGTTCTCTTAATATACAATTACTCTTTGATATAAAGCTCTTTCTTATACACATACAAGTGTCTGGATTTGTTTCTATAGTCAATCTGGTCTAACACAGGCTGCTAATTGTAAGATCAGTAGTTCAAGACCATCGGTTTCTCTGTGGGAGGAAGAGGAGTTTTCCTACTCCTGTAAAGAATTACAGTCTCAGAACTCACAGCGGCAGTCTACCCTGTCCTGTACAGAAACTGGGTCAGAATCCACTCAATGGCAGTGAGTTTGCTTTCGTTTGGGATCAATCCAATGCTCTGAAGAGACAAGAATGGTATCTGATGTGACGCATGTTCCTCCCATTGAAACTTTGTGTGTTGGCATCTATAAGCAAAACCAAATCTACAGCAGGCCAACCATCAAGACTGCAAGCAATGTGTACCAGCTCACAGCGTCAAATATATTTCTCTTCATCTGGGTGGTTTCTGGTCAATTCAGTCTTAGCAATTCTAAGCTAGGTCAATGAGTACCAGTAGCCAGCTCAGGAGTTCCCATGCACCTCCCTCTACTTTAGGTCACATGTAAGCCCTCCACATTTGCTCATCAACTCTAGCACTCTAGGGCTAAGTCATGCTATAGGCTCATGTTCCACACAACTCTTTGAACTTCAGACTAGCCAGCCCTGCCTTGTGTCTCCTATCTTGTCTTTGTGGACCAGATCCATGAGTGTCAGTGACCAAATTAATCTCTTTGAGTTAGTTAATTGTGCCAGCCTGGCCGATAATCACATGTGGGGCTGGTTGAAAGGCGGAGGGATAAACGGGTGGTGAAGCCTCGCCTTTCTAGTTCTCGGGTCTCTTGTTTTGTGATGGTTGCATCGGGTGCAGCTGCCTTAGCAGTTCCCTGCTTCAGCTTGCAAGATTGACTTCCTACAAGACATCCTCAAGGAGAAGCCACATGGACCTATCCCGATGCAGCCCTGGGTGCTGGAGCAGCCATGTGGAGACCCCTGCTAGTGCTGAGATGCTTGTTCGTTCACTGACTCAGCTTTCCTCCTGCAGTCGGCATCATTGCCTCTGTTTTGTGAGGTGAAGGACTTTGTGGACTGGTGTTGGGTTAATGTTGGACTTGTGGGCTTGGGCAGCATTGGGTTGGGATGTTTTCGTGATGCACATTTTCTTTGCATAAAACTCTCTCTTATACATGAGTTGCTGTGGATTTGTTTCTCCAAAGTACCCAGACTAATACACTCTTCATTGCTGTATTTCCCCCACTTCCATTCAGCAATTGAATCCAGGTAGTCAACTACTGAGCATATTGGACTGCCCACAGGCTCTCTTTAACTTTCAGTCCTGGAGTGAGTCCCATTGTAAATGATGAACTTTAGCTACTAATAATATATCAGTATATGTTCATCAGTTGTAATAAATGTATCTCACAACTGCATGATGTTATTAACAGGGGAAAGTTTACAGAGGATGAAGGGATATATGGAAACTCTGTTCTTGCTGTACAATTTTGCTATAAACCACAAAATAAAAAGTAAAACCATAAAGCAAAGAACCAAGCTCCCTTCCACCGAGAAACTCTGACTCACAGTGACCCTGTAGAACAGAACAGAACTGCCCCTGTGCGTGTGCAAGCCTGTGGCACTCTGCGGTAGTAGAAAGCTCCATCTTCCCCGAGGAGCAGGTGGTGATTTTGAACTGCTGACCTGGTGGTCAGCCGCCCCTGTAACCACTCTGCCACGAGGGCGCCCTAAAAAAAGTTAAGTCTATGAAAAAAGGTTTTGGTGATCTTGAATGAAATTCCTGGGTAGAAAATAAAATATGAAATATCACAAGGGTTCCCTGATGAAAAGTAATGGAAAAATAAATCTTTCTCCTTTCCCACCCCTGTGCTCTTGGTGGAAAACACGTATGACCAGCCATGGAAAAGTGCCCCATGTGGTGCAGGACCTTAGTCAAAGATGGGATTGGCGTATTGCAGGTAGTTCCCAGGGCAGATACTTTTGCAGATGGAGAAGAGGAAAGAAAAACTGTCTTTATACAAAAATGTATAATTTACATACTCACCTCTCCCATGGAGTCTATTGTGGCTTAAGATGCTCCTTTAATTTCTCCAGATTCTTGATTTGTCCCTTGTATTGAATCTGCTAATCTTGGTTGTGATTTGACTCCGCTTCTGGCTCCTACAACATTCTTTACCCACCACCTTGCCTGCATTGGTCAAGTCTTAGTACGAAGCTTACTAATACCCTGGGATCTTCCAGTTTCCATCTAATCCAGCAGTTCTCATCCTTTGGGGGTCAAACAGCCCTTTCACAGGGGTCGCCCAATTTATAACAGTAGCAAAATTACAGTTATAAGTAGCAACAAAAATAATTTTATGGTTGGGGGGTCACCACAGCATGAGGAACTGTATTAAAGGGTCGCGGCATTAGCAAGGTTGAGAAACACTGATCTAACCCTTGACTGAATGTTTGAAACTTAACATTATCGATGACTTGGATGGAAATACTGGTGTTTAAATCAAATTTATGTATAACATAAAGCCAGAAGGATTTGTGTGTATCCATCTTCACTTCCTACAACATCTGGTTTCTGTCTTTCTGGATGAATGAATGCCATGCTGTGCAGTGTGGTGCTATTATACGACTCTTTTAACTCCCACAAAATGATTAGATGGAACTATGCAAATAAGGTGTTTGGGACAACCCTTTCAAGTGCTGGAACTATGCAAATAAGGTGCTTGGGGTCCACCAAGAGTAGTCCATTTTGTGAGTCCACTGGGCTTACAAACAGCCATTTCCAGAGTTTAGAGGGAAATCTTATTATCATCAAAAACCAGAAGGAAAGCATAACCTCTGGACCCAGAGTCCTGTGTTGAGGACCTTTTAGGCCTCGGAAACAGAAAGAGTTGTAACACTGAAGACAGGCTAAGATAGTGAGACGTAACGGCAAACACGGCATTCTCTGAGGCACCCAGCCTCAGAGAAACGGCAGCAACAAAAGCAGACCAGCACAAAATGATTCAGTGGGTGTGGTAGTTATATAATCTGTCATCAATTTGAGAAGATGAAGAATGAAGGTGTGGAGTCTAGCCTGTCAATCAAGTCGCAAGTTGATGATCTCATTTGGAGGTACTAAGGAGATGAATGATCCATTGGAGGTGAGACACATACTCAGTCCCTGCGAGGCATTCTTGACAAGCCACATGGAGACAGGCTGATGGCAGCCAGCGCCTCAGAGCTGGAGAAACCAGGTGGAGACCCCTGCCAGCACTGAGATGCTTATACTGCCACTGGATTCACAAGACTTTCCACCTGCTGGCCTGTGATCATCCTGCATTCAGCCTCATTGCGTGTGCTTTGTGAGTCTGAAAAGGCCTTTATAGATTGGTATCATACATATGGGCTAATATTGGACTTAAGGACTTGATCTCTACTGGGCTGGGATGTTTTCACAATATTCAATTGCTCTTGTACATAAGCCTCTTTTTTTCCCACCCTCCCTTTCCCCATAAGTCTCTTTCTTATACACTTGTGTCAATGAATTTGTTTCTTGTCAACCCAAACTAAAAAAGTAGGCTTCCTGCCTCGGAGAGCAAGGTAGCTACAGTGGTTTGCTGACCCAGGAGTGAAAGAGCTGAGTGCCTTTGGGTAGGAGTCTTAATGACGGAGTGGGCTGCCTCCAGGCACTTGCTGGTATAAAGAAATCGCAATAACACCTGCCCAAGTAGGACCAAGACCAGGTCTGAGCAGGGCCTGATGCTGTTTGTAGGCACAGCTGAAGAAGCTGCCTGATTGAATAAAGGTACCCTGGGTTGTTCTTATTACTTCCAAGTTGATCCTGATCCCACTTCCCTGAAAACAAAACAAATCCATTGCCATCCAGTCAATTCCAACTCATAACAATCCTAATACGCCTCAAAAACATGAGTATGGTCTGAGTTCTGTGTGCTCATGACAATGAATTATCAAACTCAGCAGAGTACAGAGTCATGGGAGGGCTGGCTAATGCCAGAACTGGTGACAGGGTGGGGAGTGGATTCTCACAGGAACCAGCTTTGGGTTGATGATGGTGATTATTCCAGCCCGCCCACCTCCACCCCCAGGTGAAGTCAGAGGACCATTTTACAATGAGCAACTCAGGATATTGGTGACTGAAAACTGTTTTCTAGCTATGGGGAGAATGAATGCTTTGTGCCATGCTACCCACTGGATATAAATTTCCGACTGAACGGCAGTGCAATTGCATCAAAAGCCATGAACTGTTGCAGGAGTATGGTCTTGATTCAATTCTCAGAAAGAGAAGCAGATGCATTGTCGGAGCATGATTACACTTCCTGTTCAATGGCCTCCCACGAATGCTGTCCTGCTAACAGAAGAGTACACGTTCCAGAATCCGGCAACAGTGACTTCCCTCTCCATCTCTGTGAGCGCTTCGCCCCAGCTCAAGGATGGCACAGTCCCATTTCCCAGTGAATAAGACATCTGGACAACTCAACATGAATGAATGTTTTATTGGAATATAGGCACTTGGCAGAGTAAATATGTGGTTACAAAGTGATTTCAGTTTGATTTATACCATGACCAGGAAAATATATAGATCAGTCTACAGTTAGATTTTTCCCCCCTTGAAGTTGCCAACTTCAAAAGGCAAGTCCCCAAGCCCGTTAGTATTTAGTAAGACACACGTGACCAACATTTTCACTTAGTGAAACTATCTTATTGCTTAACTTGGACAAGTCCACCTTCCTTTCTCCATGTTAAAATCGCTATTTAGCACATATCATTTGGTACTTCTTAGAATAAATTAAATCCCTTTGGTGTGGGAGCTTTGCGAAGCCTTCTAATAAAACCAGAGTTGAGATCTTCATCATCAAATGTCAAGGCCCTGCGGCTGTCCACCTTCCGCCTCCTTCTAAAGCATCAGGCACAGCTGGGATCTTATTACTGTGGGTCCAGATACTTTCAGTTCAGAGTTTACTGCACATTACACACGCCACGACTGTCCCCGCTACTCAAGGTAAAAATGGGAGAACGACAAGCTGATTTCCTTTAAGGGAAATGCTCTCTTTTGGGGGAAGGAGGGTGAAAGGTCAATAAGCAATATTACTGGGGTTTGAGGCATCTCTAATAAATTTGCCCAGAGATGGGAGAAAACCCTCATAATAAACCCGTTCCATTCTGGAAAATCTCTGCAGTAACAACTATGAGTTCACATTAAACTCCCAGTACTAAACTGTTTGCCTAACAGACTTGTGAAAGCAAACAATGTTAAAATAATGTTACAAATAAATCTTTACTGGAACAAAAAGCTGCGTCTTTCTCCCGCAAAGCAGCTGATGGGTCCAAATGGCTGACCTTGTGGTTAGTTGCCCAACTCAGTCTGCTATCAGTGCTCCTGCTCGATCCTGAGGCCCCAAATAGCCCATCGTAGGTGCCGTCACGTCCAATTTCCTGAGCAGCCTGTCACTTGCCAATTCTGCGCTAGGTCCTGAGGGTGTGGAAATGACTTGAGGAGACAGGAAGCTGCTAGTGAAGGTTGTGCTTCCGTCTAGCAGGAAGGATGCAGGATGCCTAACACCTTGTTTCTGCCCTGGAAGACAGGAGCTCCTGGTAGAGACAGGAAGTAAACAAAAGCTCCATTCCCCAGCCAAGTGCAAGGCTATGAGGAAACACCGGGGGCTCTACTTTCTTTATTCATGATGAGATCCTTGTTAGAACTGAGGACCTAACAATTCCATATGGGAGTATGCTGATACCCGTTTTCATCCTTTATGATCCAGAAATCCAACAAACTTTTTATGAGCGTGGTGGAGGGGGAGGCATTTCAATTCCTGGTTAATGCGTCAGACGGTGGCATAGAGTGACAGAAACTTCATGGCTGGCGAGGATCAACGCAAGCCCTGAGGACACTAAGTTGGGATCTAGTATTAAAACGTGTGGAAGCAAACTTCAACATGTAATACTTGGGATGGAAGCTTTTAGGAAATAATCTAGCAGTTTTGTTGCTTTGCTATTTTCCCCTGGAGGAAAATAGCACAGTAACCCCCTCTCCCCCCATCTCTGGCAATAAGACTCCCTGGCACCATTAACAAATGCTGTCCGTCACGAGCCAGCAGAAAGCTGTCGTTATGCCTATTTTCCACTCAAGGGTAAATTTCGGGAGGAAGGGACAGTCACATCACCACAGGACCTCCCTCCAGAGCCCCGCGCTCCACGAGCTTGCGGAATGACTGAACCAGCAGTTGCCACTTTGCGTAACAGATTTGGGACTTGATGGTCCATACTTTGACTTTTTAAAAAAATTGATGCTACCTTGTGGAAACAAGCCAGTATTGTCTCAGAAAACACAGAAAACGGTGCCATGGTTTGAAAATGGGCTCTTTCTTTTCCTCTAGGTTAATTTCCTGGAGCCTTTTCATTTAGACCAGGCAATACAATACGCCTTATCTATTTTTTATTCTTATTACTTTCCTGAATATAGTACATGGCATGCAGTAACTGTTCAAATAATGCTTGTTTAACTAGTAGGCGTTAAGCTCAGTCATTGAGCGGAGCCTTTTCTCTGCACAGTCTACAGTGGATGTGGAGTGCTTTCAAGCTGAAACACGCCAATGACATTTTCTTGCCCCATCTGAATGCTCCCCTGAAGGTGATTAATTAATAAGGATCAAGAAACTTAATTCACACAATTAATTATTTGATTGATAGTAGAATTGTTAACAGGCCCGGGCAGTTGCATAGTCTGTGAGCTTCCCTCCCGTTTCTGCTCAGCGTCTCCTGAGACTTATGGTCGGAGCCGGCTCCGTGGAGCTTACCCACAACAGAGGGGAGGGGAGTCTGTGACCTGTCCCTTGGTGTAGCCTGCCTGACCTAGGACAAAGGCTGAGACTAAAGAGAGAGTGAAATTCGCTTGGAAGCCGGTGAAGCGAGGCTTACTATATGCATTCCCCTTCTTGCCTAAAAGCCTTCAAATGCCCCAGGAGACCACATCGCCACAAGGCGCAGAGGGCACTGAAAACCAGGCTCCCACGGCTTCCCGGTCTTCACTGCAACACCACTCCCTCCGCCTGACACCCTCGGCTGGCCTCTAACCCCAAACCCTCCATTGTCTGTGTAATTCCTATTAAAACGCCCAAGCAATAATTCATAGTGGCACAGGGCAGCCCCACAAAGCTGTTGGTCTACAGTGCCCACGCCCTGCGTGCTTTTCCTTTGGCTTCATTAGACAACGTGAAAGAAATATTTAAGACTGTTTCTTGTGGCAACCTTGTGCAATTCCCAAGTGAATCCCCCCTGTGATGGACCTTGTTGGAAGAAAGGCTTTTACCAAACAGTCCCCCTCACTCCTCCGGGGGCTGCCCTGGGGAACCCCCCTCACCACCTTCTCTCTCCGTCTTGCCGTTCCCATGTGCACCTAGGCTATCGGTGTCTGGAGCACTTTCAACCACCCACTGGCACCCGTGAACACTGGCGGCCTTAAGTCCCTCTGCAGCCACTCTGACCGTGGCCTGGCCTGGGCTGCTCAGCCCTCCTGCCACTTCCTGTTCCTCAGAAAGCTGGCTCTCGCTAGCAAAGCCATGGTCAGGACCTAAAACGCACTCTTCTTGGGCACGGGCCTCGCCTCCCAGGGCACCCGGGGCTCCTCCTGCTTCAAGTAGTCTGGAGGCCTTCCCCGGGAGCTCCCTGTCCAGGGGCTCCCCAGCATCAGCTTGCTCACCCCGGAGCTCCCTGTCCAGGGGC